TCTCGTGGCCTAGAGATTAAGGTGTTCGACTCTCATTCAATAGGTGCCGGATTCGAATCCGCACAGCGACGGAACATTTTCTCGTTTAAAATTGTTCTCATTTCACATCCTTTCCTGCTTTAAAAAAATGTTCTGTCGTCTGTTTTCGTCTCCATTTTCTGCCTCTACCCCTTCACCCCTTTGTCCCCTCCTCTGGGCTCTTGACTCTTTCTGCAGCTTTTCTTCAGCTTCCTTGGCTTCTTAATGTTGTCTTTCAGCCACATCACTCAGCTTATGGTAGGTAAGGTTTACACCTAGCCTTCTCGGACAAGGGCGAAAAATCTTGCGGTCCCGTGTGTAAGTTGCGCATGGTAAAGATCCCTTGGTGCTCCAAAATCGTTAAGAGTAGATTTCGACCGCCACCCGGGCAAAATTCTAAATTTCCTACCAACTGAAAATGTTTAATGTGTCTCGCGCGCTCGTGTGACCTTACCTAGTAGAGCGCCGTAAAACACTTACAAGAAAAAAACGACATTTGATATGCTATTGCTGGTCGCCACTGTGCAGCACCCTGTTTTTGAGCAAGGGTTACTATTACTTTTTTTTTCTCCAGAGAACACCACTGTGTCCAACCACCTACCTAAACCCTGAGTCACCGACAGACGCTTGACGTTATCATTGTAACACGGGGTTCCCATTGCGGTCGGATCGGGTAGGGTCGGGTCGGGTCGGGGGCCATCGCCCCACTCATGGCCTGAAAACAAACGCCCTTGTTTTTGAGGCGACAAGTCGGGGCGCGATTGGCTTGTGCCAAGATAGCCGCTTTGCGCCCTCAATCTGGCTAGCAAATCGTCCCGACCAGACCCGATACCCCTATGGGCACCCATATGAGCCTGAGCTCACTATCCTCTCGGCCACTGGAGTTCCTTGAGTAGGGAGAGAGCAAACAGTTCATTTTGGCAGGTAGGATGGCTCGGGGCCAATCTGACATTGGGAAGCTCAAGCATAGCAGGATGGGCATCGTGATTTTGTACATTAGATAGATAGATAGAGATAGATAGGAGAAAGAGAAGTAAAAGAGAAAGTTATCATTAAAGAGAGACAGATGTGTAAATTGAGGAAGAGAGTGTGTGAGTGTGTGTGTGTATGTGTGTGTGTGTGTGTGTGTGTGTGTGTGTGTGTGTG